TCTAATTCCTCTCTGGTACTCTTGGCTTCTTCCTTCTTCCACTCCCATACTCTTCACCCTTGTCATGGGCTGGAGCTAACTCAAACTAGTCCCATATTAGTTTAGGTCCAAAACTGAACAAAATGAGACAATTGCAGTCCATTTAACAGTTAATAAAAGGAGGTTTACTTAGCTATAGCAAGAGAAGGCCATATAGTGCAGCTCACCTGTGTTGGTACTGGTAATCCTGCTAGTCTGCTGTCAGAGGCCTGAAAGAGGAGCTGTAGCCCTCATGTCTTAGGCATTTTGTATCTCAATGACTAGAAAGCTATGAAAATGGCCTTAGTCCCCTCAGTGAATTAAGTTTCAAAGACAGTTTCAATGGAAACACCTTTGTCCCAAGATACTCTAGCCTCTTCTTCAGATTAAATAATACCTTTCATCTTTTTATTTCATTGGATGCCATGGAAAAATGGTCTCTTTGGAGACAGAGGACTTGAATTCAAATTCTCATGTGCTCACTTCCATTTTTAAGGAAAAACAAGAGGGTGAGGAGAACTTACACTGTTGCTGTGCTCCCATAACAGCCCCTCTATGTTTCAGCTTCCTCTTCATAGGAAAATAATCGTAAGCCCAAATTTCTAGCCATATCCTTCTTCCAGATTAATATAAACAGAAAATACATTTAAAGTAGTTTGCTTATGATTCTGCTTGGAAGAGTAATAGAAAATCAGACTTTCAGGACTGGCTCCTTCTCCATCTCCTCTGCCTCCTGGGGCTGGTCATTTGGAGCAGTGAAAGGGAAGGAGTAGAGGCACCTCAGGGTAGGGACTCTTCTTAACTCCTTACAATCTGGCTTCCAATATCATCATTCTACCAAAACTACTCTTTCCAAAGTTACCAATGATTTCTTAATGGTTAAATCCATGGCCTTTTCTCGATTCTTATCTCCTCAACCTTTCTGCAGCCTTTGACGCTGTTGATCACTCTCTTCTCCCTAGGTTTTCAGGACCCCACTCTCTCTTCCTACTTATTAGCAAATAACAGCTCAGGTGGCTAAAGGCATGGCAGCAGCCAAGGTGTTGTGGAACAACAATGAGACATATCAAATGACTGCAAGATACAGTTCTAGGAGCATGAATTATCCCTTAAGTTGAGAGGCAATGAGGTACAGCAGAAAGAGTTACACTTGTAGAACCTAAAATTCAAACCTGAGTCTGAATCCCAGATCTCCTCCTTTTTACCTTTATGAGCTTGTACAAATCACTTTACCTCTAGACCCTACATTTCCTGAGCTATAAAACAAGAGGGGTGGATTAAAAGGACTAAGGTCCTTTCTATTTCTAAATTGATGACCCTATTGATTTTCCCTCTCCCTGACATAAGAATCTGCAGGAGATTGTATTCCTTTGTCTATGCAGGAGTAAGAGGAAAGGAACAAGCATTTATTAAGGGCCTATTACGTGCAAGGTCCTATGCTAAGAGCTTTACAAATATTATCTCATTTGATCCTCACAAAAATCCTAGGAGATAAGGGCTATTATTATCCCTATTTTAAAGATGAGGGGAATTGAGACAGAGAAGTTAAATTAAACTTGCCCTGGGTCATACAGCTAGTAAGTGTCTGAAGACTGGATTTCAACTCAAGAGCTCCTAACTCTTAGGCCATTAGGACCAGTGTTCCAGCCACTGCATCACCTAGTTACTTCTTAGCTGGAGAGGGCACAGAAAATGATTCTCTAGTTGATTTTCCTCCATTATTTCTTTATTTTTTATTTATTAATCTATCTTAATTAAAAGCTTTGCTATTTGAAGGATGGTTTCTGCCTACCATGTTCATAAAGAATGAACCAGATGGGTGTTCAAGATGTGGTTGCATAAATATGATTACACAAAATACATAGCTTTGAAATTGAGAGTAGTTAAGTGTCCAGAGTACTATAGAAACTGTTCTATACCTTCATGGAGTCTAATCCAGTGGTCTTCAAACTTTTTTGCTCAAACACCCCTATCAATAAAACATTTGAGGGGCAGCTAGGTAGCAAAGTGGATAGAACTTCAGCCTTGGAGTCAGGAGGACCTGAGTTCAAATCTGGCCTCAGACACTTTACACTTACTAGCTGTGAGACCCTGGGCAAGTCACTTAACCCCTATTGCCTCACCAAAAAGCAAAAAAATAAAAAAATAAAATATTTGAGCACATAGCCCCCAGTAGGTATATATTTATTTATAAATTATATTCAGATAGATAGATAGATATGTACTACTGTGTGAACTTACTCTAATCCAAAATAAAAATAGGGGTGGAGCAGGATTCTCACTCATTGATCATCTTTCCAAAACTACAGCTCTAAGGTGGTCTACAGGGTACAGGCTGGAGGGTATTTTCCCAATGGGACCTGTGCAGTTGCTGCTGTTGGTGCCTAGGTTAGTTTATAACTACCCACTGCAGAGGCGAGTGGGTCAGAAGCAACAGGAAGGGGAAATTGGGGGAAATGTTGACAGATAATGGGTAAAAAGTAGGTATGGTAGTATTAAAGACAAGCCTTACAAATGGCTATTTCTATGTAATGAGGGTTTGGCTCATGCCTAGATCATCTAAGATGGCATTACCCACCTGTAAGACTCTAGGGGACTAGAGAACTGGCATATGCAGAGCCTTCTGCACTGGCCTACTATGGGGTTGGCAGCACAGACTCTGTGTGTTTAAAACTGCTTGAATGAGTACCTTCAGTGATTTTCCTGCATTCATATCTGAGGATGAAAGAGTCCTGATGTTCAATAAAGCAGTTTTGAAAACACTGACAATTCCAGCTGTGTAGCCCATGGAAAAAAGCTGCTCCCAACCACATGGTACACCAAGCAGAATGTCTGAAGATGTGCCAGCTCTGTAGTCTCTCAGAAGAAGGTCCCGCAGCATCTTCCGTGTAAGCAGCATCATTTTAGAGAATCTAGGCAGGCACAAAACCCCTGTTACAGCAGGATGGGTGGGATTTGAAGCTTATGCCACAATTTCTTTGTAGTCATGCCATGCTGCCTATTTTGGAGATTGTTGGTGTAGCATAGTGATAGCACATAATCAGAAAGTGGAAATAAACAATAATACATGCTAAATACATCAGAGAAGTGCAAGCAATGTGCTATGTGAAGTCCTGAGGATAAGGTCCTTATTGACAGATCAGTAAAGCTTCACGAAGGCATTTTCTTGGACTTCATAGGGTAGATAGAAATTCAACAGGCAAAGAGAAGGAGGGAGGACATTCCAGGAATAGGAAAGAGTGGAAGTGAAGATGATAGAAGGTGAAGTATCTGCATTTACACAGACTACAGCTAACTCTCCTCTTCCTTCTCCCTTTCCTTCTATAACTTTCCATGGAATGGGCAAGGCAAGAAAGAAAACATTTAGCAGAGGCAACTTGATTCGTCTGCTCAGGCTATCTTTGGGTCCTCTTGTACTTGTCATTTGGACCCCACAGACTTATTTTAGGTCCTGAGTGTTTATGCATGTGCTTATTGGGTTAATTGGGTTAAGCCTCACTAAGTATTGTTTAAAACAACAGTGGGAAATTGTTTCACAGTCATCACATGGTAAAGTCTCTTATCTCTGTGTGAGCCTGGAGAGCAACCCCCTGAAGGAAATGTGGGCAGTTTTCCTTTGAAGCTCAAGGAACATCCAAATCTCTCAGAAAACCCAAGTGTTGCTTCTATCACCCAAGAAAACTGAAATGGGGAAACCAAAGCTAATGTATGACTGAGATAGTGAATTTCAATAGATGACAGCTTTAAAGCTGACTGATTCTCATTTGGGTTTCATTGGATGGCAAGGAATATGAAGCTTGTTTTATGGTGGTCTCCTAACACCCTAAAGTATAATCTATTAGGTTAAACATTGAATTCTCACTATACAAGTAAAGAGTCTGGGTGGGCAAATATGGCTCCATTCACACATCTGTTAATCTGTTAGGAATTTCAATACTTTCAAATGCTTGGACACTGTGAAAACCTCACCCAGGCTTTCCACTTTATTTTTGATGTATGTTTTTCAAAGCAAGGAAAAGTAATTATGCAGAGGACAAGGACTGGGAGAGTCATTTAGCTGAAGGAGCCTCATTAATTCAGGAATCTTTATCTTAGCTGTAGAAGGGCTTGCTCCTAAGCAGGAAGAATGTGCTCCAGGACACTTTAAACACACATAAGCTTTTCTTTCAATTTGCCTTGATTTTCATTTCCTTTTGCAAAAGGACTGTCTGGGCCCCACCCCAAGCACAGGTGCAGAAGCTTAGCAAGGCCTAACAGAGGCCCAAGTGGGGCTCCTGCTGAAATGATCAAGCTTGCAGACAACAGGACCCTAGGCATGCAAATTTAGCTGTGCTATCTCCCACATCCTGTTCTGTTTGTTATGGGTTCCTCCCTGTCTGACCACTGGCTCCATTTTCACAGAGAAGTTTTCTGGCTCTCTTGTTGGAGCCTTTGTTTTTCCCTAAACCATTCATCTTAACTCCCCCAGCATCCTCCTCCTCTACTCTGCACATACATACTCATACATTCACCTCAGTGAGAACTATTCCCAGTCCCGATGATGCCACAACAGTGAGGCCAAGACCTCACCCCTTCCACGAGGCACCACCCCTCTTTTATCCCACCCCCAAATTCAATCTGTTGCTAAGTCTAGCCATTCTACCTTAGTAATATCTCTCATGCAAAAAGAACAAAAGTCTTCCTACATAGAAATTTTAATTATCCACGTGTCAGGAGAACTGGGATCATTTTAAAAACATTGGCAATCTGATCTTTGTTGTTTTGACCTCTGAATCTACAATTCCTCCCCCCTCATTCTCTTCTTAACTTTGACCTCACAATTCAACTGAAAATGCCCTTTTTGAAGTAACCAATGATCCCTTAATGTGAAATCTGATGGCCTTTTTTTCAATCTTCATCCCTCTTGATCTCTTTCAAGACTTTGGCAGTGTTGATTACCCTCTTCTTGATACTCCCTTCTCTCTAAGATTTCTCAACATTACCTCTCCTGGTTCTTCTCCTATATGTCCTGCTTCTCCATTTCCTTTGTTGAATCTTTCATCCAACTCATGACCATTAACCATGAGGAGGGGTTGGGAAGGAGGAGACAGGGAAGACTCAGTCCTGGGCACTTTTCTCTTCTTTCTCTATACTCATGTACTTGGTTATCTCATCAGCTTTTTTGATTCAACAATTGTCTCTATGCCGATGATTCTCAAGTGTACTTGTCCAGCCCTAACCTGCTGGCTGACTTGCAGTCTCCCATTTCCAGCTGCCTATTTGACATCTCAAACAGGATATCCTTTAGACATCTTAAACTCAATGTGTCTAAAACTGAACTAATTTTTTTTTTACCAACAAACCCTCCCCTTTCCTTAATTTTCATTTAACAGTCAAGGATACCACTATCTTCCTAGTCACCCATGATTGCAACATAGGTGTCATTCTCTAATTCTTCTTTCTTTTTCTCTGTCTCTTTCTCTCTCCACTCCACATTCAATCTGTTGCCTAGTTCTGTCATCTAGTAACTAGTAACATCTAGTAACATCTCTCATAAAAATCTTCTCTTTTCTGGGTCTGCCACCACCCTAGTCCAGGTCCTCATCATCTCGTAGTTGGACAATTACAATAGGCTGCTTCTTCAAGTCTCTCCCCACTCCAGTTCATCCTCCACTCAGCTATCTGATTGATCTTCCAAAAGCCATGTCCAACCATGTCACCTTTTCATTCATTAAACTCCAGTAGCTCCCTATGACCTACAAGATCAAGTATGAAATCTTCCTTAAAGCTCTTAATAACCTGGCTCTTTCCTGCTTTCCAAATCTCCTTATACCTTGTTCCCCCTGTGTACTCTGGGATCCAGCCACATTGGCCTCCATGCTTTTTCTCACACATGGCACTATATCTCCTGACTCTGAGCATTTTCAATAACTGTCCCCAATGCCTAGAAGAACTCTTTCCCTCCTCATCTCTCCCTCTTGGATTCCCTGGCTTCCTTCAAGTACTCAGGTAAATCTTACCTTCTATAGAAAGCCTTTTCTGATCCCCCTAAATTCTAGTACCTTCCTTCTATTTCTTTTCTCCAATTTATCCTGTGTGTATCTTTTTGGAACATAGTTTATACATGTTGTCTCCCCCATTAGACTGTGAGCTCCTTGAGATCAGGAACTGTCTTTAGCCTTTCCTTGTATCCCAGGACTTAGCACAGTGCCTGGAACATAGTAGGTACTACATAAGTGTTTTTTGTCCACTGACTGATGTGACCTAATAAAATTGAGTTGGTGTATAAACTTTAAACTTCCCTCCCCCAAAGGCTATTGCACTGGTGATAGAAGTTTTCCCTTTCAATAAAATGTTAACAACTGAAAATTCATGAGGGGAATTGCATTTCACACATAATTACAGCTCTCACTATCTTGCATAATTTAATAAATAAAAAAGAATCCATCCTTGACTATCCTCATAAGTTATGTCTAACTGATAGTGTTTGAAATGTTACAAATTATAATGCTGTACTTGGAAATGTACAATTACTGGTGATTCTGAATGGCTTTTAAAATATTCAATTTACTTTGAAAAGATTCTAAAATGTTTTTCAATCAATGCCATGGCTAAGGAATTCATCACCTAGTTACCAATTGACCAATGATGCTGCTTTCCCTCTGAAATTACTTTCCACTTTCACTGTATGTATATGGTATGTACAGTTTTGTGCATGTTGTTTCCTCCATTACAATGTGAGTTCCATGAGGGCAGGGACTATGTTTTTTCCTTTGTCTGTCCACCAAGTACTTAGCAGAGTGCTTGGAACACATTAAACACCTGGTAAATGAGTATTAACTGATGAGCCTCTGCTTGTCTTGCAGCCAACATGATCGATCACTGGAACTGGCTTGGATAGGCCTTCCAGCTTGATAGAACATGTTTGGATAACTTCCACCCCAGAGCCCAGGATGACCTTTGTCACACAATGAGCAATTGTAGTAAGACTCTTGTACTAGTGAATGGGTTTAAAATGGTATAAAATGTTGTCTTCTAAAAACCTGGCTTAAAAATATAGATATTTACCTCAATTGATAAATGGTCAAAGGATATGAACAGGCACTTTTCTGAGGAAGAAATTAAACCTATCTATAGTCATATGAAAAAATGCTCTAGACCAACCCTTCTCTTTATAGCCTAGGCTGTCCTAGGATTGAATCTGGTCTGAGTGGATGGGTCCAGAACTGAGAAGTGTTCCTTGTCCGGGAACCAAGATGGTGGAGTAAGAGGTGAGTCTCTGTTACCCTCCTTTATTAATTCCTGAAAGCCTAGAAAATATCACCCCAGGAAAAACCCTGGAGCAGCTGAACCAGAAGAAAGATGGGGTGCAGCAGTCCAGTAGCCCAGGTAGCTTGAGGGATTAACTGGAAAGGCCCCTCTTACCTGGGGAAAGGAGAGCAGTATAGAATGGGAGGCATCCTGGCAATCTAGTGAAAAGCACCACCTCAGCATACCAGGAGGAGATCCTGAAGCCCAGGTGGTAAAGCAGGCAAACACCAACACCTGGACCCTGAGTGCCTCATTGAGGGTGGGGGAACTGGTGGAAACCAGCTCAGAAAACCACCAGGGGCCTTGGCATTCTATAGCAACTGGCTCTCCCAGTGCCTCAGCAAAACTAAGGGAAGCAGCTCTGAAAAGAGCTGAAGAAAACAAAAGGAAGGAAAGGCCTGGGTGAGCAGGAAATCTCCAGGAGCCACACTACCCAATTCTACCCCTAGAGTTCTAGTATTGCTGTTTTCAGCCCAGCACCAGGTAAGCTGCCACAATCCTACAGCCTCCAAATGCCAACACTGGAGGCCATAGCACACAAAGTCATCCAACCAGTCCCTACACTCCCAACACAAGAAGCTTGGGTCAGTACCCTCTGCTCCCCAGCAGGAGAGCTCAATCTCTTTAAAAGCCAGGAAATAAGCAAACACCATGAACAAAAAGAAACATATGATAGATTCTTATTATGGGAAGAGTGAAGATCAAGGCAGAAATTCTGAAGAGGACAACATTGTCAACAAACCCACATCTGGAACCTCAAAAGGGAATATGAACTGGTCTGAAGCCCAAAAAGCCTTCTTAGAAGAGCTCAAGAAGGATTTTAAAAGTCAAATGAGAGAGGTAGAAGAAAAAATGGGAAAAGAAATGAGAGGTATACAAGACAGAGTCAATAGCTTGGAAAAAAGAAGGACAAAAATTAACTAGAAAACAAGTCCTTAAAAAATACAGTTGGCCAACTGGAAAAAAAGTACACTGAAGAAAACAAGTCCCTAAAAAATACAGTTGGCCAAATGGGGAAGGAGGTACAAAATCTAATAGAAGAAAACAATTTCTTAAAAATTAGAACTGAGCAGGAAGCTAATGACTCTATGAGAGAGCAAGAATCAGTCAAACAAAAGCAAAAGAATAAAAAAAAGATGAAAATGTAAAATATGTCATTGGTAAAACAACTGACCTGGAAAATCGATCCAGGAGAGACAATTTAAAAATTATTGGACTGCCTGAAAATCATGATGAAAAAAAGAGCCTGCACAGTATCTTTCAGGAAATTGTAAAAGAAAACTGCCCTGAGGTCCTAGAACCAGAAGGTAAAATAGCCATAGAAAGAATCCACCGATCACCTCCTGAAAGAGATCCCAAATTGAAAATGCCAAGGAATATAGTAGCCAAATTCCAAAATTACCAGGTCAAAGAGAAAATACTGCAAGCAGCCAGAAAGAAACAATTTAAATATCATGGAACTACAGTCAGGATTGCACAGGACCTTGCAGCTTCTATATTAAAAGACCACAGGGCATGGAATATCATGATATTCCATAAGGCAAAGGAGCTTGGACTACAACCAAGGATCAATACCCAGAGAAAATGAGCATAATCTTTCAGGGAGGAGATGGATATTCAACAAAATAGGGAACTTCCATACTTTCCTGATAAAAAGACCAGAGCTCAACAGAAAATTTGATCCTCAAATACAAGACTCAAGAGAGACATGAAAAGGTAAACAGGACAGAAAGAAACAACATGTTATTAATAAGGGCAAATTCTTTACATCCCTACAAGGGAAGATGACACTTGTAACTCTTGAGAACTATATTGTTATCATACCGTGTTAAAGGGATATACAAAAAAAAGGGGTGGGTATAAATTGACATTGATGTAATGATGAAAAAAATCTAATCAAGTGGGTTAAATGGATCCAAGTAAGCAAATTAATCTGATCTAAGAAAATGTACTGAGAGAAAAGGAAAAGAGGAGGCAGACAAGGGTAAATTATATATTACAGGAAAAGGCACAAAAACCTATTACAGCAGAGAGAAAGAAGGGAGGGAGATGAGCATTGTTTTACTCTCATCAGATTTGGCTTAGGAAGGGAATAACATAATCAGTTAGGTATAGAAATCTAACATGCCCTGTAGGCAGTAGGAGGGAAAAGGGGAAAGAAAAGGAATGGGACTAATAGAAGGCAGGTGGGACTAAGGAAGGTGGTGGTCAAAAGCAAAACATTAGTGAGGAGGGAAAAGGAGAAAGGAGAAAGAAAAGCATAAACGGGGGTAGGGGGAAGGATAGAGAGAAAGACACAGATGGCTATCATAATTGTGAATGTGATATATGTAAATAATGGAATACAGTTGTCCTATAAGAAATGATGAACAGCCAGACTTCAGATAAACCTGGAAAGACTTGTATGGTTTGATGCTGAGTGAAGTGAGCAGAACCAGGAGAACATTGTACACAGTAACAGCCACATTGAGTGATGACTGACTTTGATAGACTTAACCCCTCTCAGCAATATAAGGATCTAAGACATCTCCAAAAGCCTCATGGTGGAAAATGCTATCCACATCCAAAGAAAGAACTATGGAATTTGAATGCAGATCAAAGCATACTAGTTGCTATTTTTTTTCTTCTGTTGTATTTTGGTTCCTCTTTCTGGTGGTTCCTCCTATTAGTTCTAACTCTTACTTACCACATCACTAATGTGAAAATACGTTTAATAAGAACGTATATGAATAGCCTATGTTAGAATACATGCTGTCTTGGGGAGGGAGGTAGGGAGGGAGGGGGAGAAAAATTTAAACTCAAAAGCTTATGGAAGTGATTGTTGATAAATAAAAATAAATTAAGAAAAAAAAGAAAAAAAGAAATGTTCCTTACTTGAGAGCTGGAGAAGACAAATACCTCAGCCCCTTTGGGCTAAGTGGTATCCATTGCTGTTACACTAGTTTTAAATAAAACTAGAAGGAAGTTGCAGTTAAAAAAAAAAGAAAAAATGCTCTAAATCACTATTGATTAGAGAAATGCAAATCAAAACAGCTCTGAGGTACCATATCATACCTATCAGATTGGCTAACATGACAAAGTAGGAAAATAGTAAATATTGGAGAAGATGTGGGAAAATTGGAACACTAATGCATTTTGTTGGTGGAGTTGTGAACTGATCCAACCATTTTGGAGAGCAATTTGGAACTATGCCCAAAGGATTATAAAACTGTGCATATTGTTTGACCCAGCAATAGCATGTCTAGGGCTGTATCCCAAAGAGATCATACAATAGGAAAAGGACCCACATGTACAAAAACATTTACAGCAGCCCTTTCTGTGGTGGCAAAGAATTGGAAATTAAGGGGATGCCCATTAGTTGGGGAATGGCTGAACGAGTTGTGGTATATTAATGTAGTGGAATACTATTGTACTATAAGAAATGATGAGCAGGTGGACTTCAGAAAACCCTGGAAAGACTTATATGAACTGATGCTGACTGAAATGAGAAGAACCAGGAGAATGTTGTACACAGTTAGCACCCACATTGTGCAATGACTAACTTTGATAGACTTATCTCTTCTTAGCAATGCAAGAACCTAAGACAACTCTAAAAGACTCATGATGGAAAATGCTATCCATATCCAGAAAAAAAACTATGGAATCTGAATGCAGATCAAAACATATTATTTTCTCTCTCACTTTTTTTTTTGTTTCTTCTTTCTCGTGGTTTCTCCCATTGGTTCAAATTCTTCTTTACAACATGACTAATGTGCAAATAGGTTTAATATGAATGTATTTGTTGAGCCTATGTCAATTTACATGCCATCTTGGGGTGGGGAGAAGGGAGGGTTGGGGAGAAAATTTGGAAGTCAAAATCTTATGGAAGTGAATGTTGAAAACTAAAAATAAAAAAATAATTTCTTATAAAAAAGTAAAAACAAACAAAAACAAACAAATCCCAAAATAGACATTTAGAAATTAACTGAATATACAGAGAAATTACTACAAATTATCAGCCACCTTCCTTTTCTTCATCTGCTTGGGTAGTGTTCTCTAAACTTTTATAATCACACAGCCCATCAGCAAAAAAAGAGTTGAGTATGTATCCCAATACATGATTATTTACTTATTTATAAATTATATAAATGTGCTACCATAAAATAATTATGTACATTATAAAACTTACATAAAATAGACATGTGAAAGGATAAGATAGACTTGAAATATTTTCTTCTAAAATCAATAAAAGCTAGTAGAGTTTATTGAATAGGGGAATGGCATAGTCAGGTTTGTACTTTAGGAAAATCACTTTAGAAGCTGTGTGGGGAGGGGAGAAGGGAGAGACTTGAGTCTGGAAGGGAGAATTGAGGGAGAAGTTAGAGCCTAGATGGCAGAGTAGCAGCAAGCTCCTTACCCCTCCAATCCCCACTCATTCAAATAGATTTAGAAAATGTACCAGATTATCAAATCTAAGGGAAAAAAAATCACAGTAGGCTATGTTTCCAGCCAAGTTGCCACCGAGAAATAGAGAGGTCTGTGGACACTGGGGACAGGCATATGCATTCTGGTGAGGTAAGGCTGGGAACCAGGGTAAGAAGAGGTCTGAGATCCAGCATGGCGGGGAGCCTAAACTTGGAGAGATGGTAGTCAATTGGCAGCTACTTTGCTCATTAACTACTTCTGTTTCATATATGCAGGGCAGATGGAGAAGGACACCAGCACCTACCCTTGCACTCCTGGGTAAGGAGCAGTTGCAGGCCAGAAGCTGTATACCCATTTGGGAGCAAGTTCAGGAGCAAACAATAGCTATGTGACTTGAATTCCAGGGCCAGAGCAGAGTCTCAGTTTTAGCTTCTAACTCAACCTGAGACCTGTAATGGAATAACCAGGAGTCTGGGATAAGAATCCCAGACTGGAAAGAAGCCTACAATCCTATCACTCTGAACCAATAGACTTTTCCAGCTGGCTGATGGTGGCTCAGTCCAGCAATGGTCTACTAGAACCTCAAGATGAGCAAGTGCACAGGTTTGTTGTTCAGACCTAAATCTAGGTCAAGAACTTGGAGAGTTTAGACAAGGGAAGCAGAAATTAAATTTTGCCCTCAATCAGAGCACTTTGGTAGCACCAAAATCTTGTAGGTCCCCCATCTGAGCTGTTACTGAGATTTTGGAATAACATCACATGTAAAATCCCAAGAAAGTAGTAGTAGCACTAGTCTAGTTTCCTCTAGGGAACAGGCAGAGCCTGGTCCTAATATAAAGTCCAAAGTCAGAAAGTAGGTTTGAAGAATGAGCAAACAAACGAAAAACCCTCCCACCATAAAAAAGCTATTATGGTGACAGAATTGCTCAAGACACAAACTGAAAAGAAGAGAATGATTCTAAAACACCTACAGGGAAAGCTTCAAAGAAAAACAAAATGGGCACAAATTCAACTAGAATTCCTGGAAAAGAGTTGGAATTCTTGATTCCTAGAATCAAGAGTTCAAAGAAATAGGTTAAAGTATTTTTAAATGAAATAAAAATGCTAGAGGAAAAAGTTTAGAAAGAAATGAGAGCAATGGAAGAAAGAATTGGGAAGAAAATTAATGGCTTGGCACAAGAGGTACAAAACCTTGCCCAAGCAACAAATTTCCTAAAAATTGCAATGCACTACATAGAAGCTAATAAATCCATAAGACAAAAAGAAACATTAAAGAAAAACTAAAAAAAAACCTTTAAAAAAAAGTAAAGTATCACATAATAGAAACAGCCGACCTAGAAATGAGATAATTTTTGTGTCATGTTGGGCAATTTTCTTTACTCCTCTATAGGACTCAGTTTCCTTATCCATAAAATACAGTGGGACAGAGGGATTGGAGTAGACCTCTAAATTAACTTGCAACCCTATAGTTATCAGTCAGGAGTACAGGCAAGATCCAAGACACAACCTGATTCTTCATGTTTTTCCCAAACAGATCTTTGAAGGGGCAAGAACATAGTAATAGTTTATTTGTTAATGAAATTTACAAACCCATGTCTCTGGTATGGTATGTTTTTCCAAGGATATACTGTTGGTCCTGTAATCTGTGGACCTTAGCTAAACAATGCCGATCTTAAAACGTTCAGTGGCCATTTTGTGAATTAGTCAACAAACATTCATTAAGTACTTACTCTTTGCCTGGTACTGTACTAAGTATTAGTAATACAAAGAAGGGCAAAAACAGGGTCCCTGACTTTGAGGAGATTAAATTCTTTTAAAGCAAATAACACGTGAAAAGCTCTGTGCTTCAAAGATATTTAGAGTGGAAACAGAAAGTAATCTCAGAGGGAAGGCACTAGCTAGGAGAGGAAAGACAAGGAAAGCCTTCCTGCAGAAGGTCAGATTTGGACTGAGTCTTAAAGGAAGCCAGGGAAGCTAGAAGGCAGAAGTAAAGGGACTGGATATTCTAGATACAGAGAGCTGCCAGCAAAAATGGACAGAATCAGGAATGTTACATGTGAGAAAGAGCAAAGTTGCTGGAGTGTAGGTTCTGCAGAGGGGAATAAAGAGAAAGAAGATCGGAAAGGTAGGAAGAGGACAGTTATGAAGGGTTTTAAAAACCAAGTGAAGAATTTTATATTTGATGTGGAGGTAACAGGGAGCCACTGAAGTTTATTGAGTAGGGGGATGGCATGGTCAGACTCACACTTTTGGAAAATCATTTTGCCAACCTTGGAGGTGGGACTGGAGTGGGCAGAGACTAGGGTCAGAGAGATAAACCAGAAGGCTATTGCAATAGCCTGGATCTAGATAATAATAGCCTGCACTAGAATGTGTGAATGGAGAGAATGGGACTTATAGCAGAGATAATAATTATAATAACAACAGCAACAATGACATTTATGCAGTGCTTTAAAATTTGCAAAGCACTTTGTAAATATCTCTTTTTATCCTTACCCTAGGATATTGTGAAGGTAAGATCAATAAGACTGGCAGAAGACTGGATATGCAGAGTGAATAAAAAGGAGTCAAATGACACCTCTAGAATCAAAGGACCTGGGTTCAAATTCTGCCTTTGATGTTTATTAGCTGTATGACTGTGGGCAATTTGCTTAACCTCCCTAGGCCTCAATTTGCTTATTGCAAAATAAAGGGGTTAAACTAGATGGTCCTTGAGGTATCTTCCCACTCTAAGTCTATGGTCTTATGACAAATTAAATGTAATATTCTTAGTATTTTTAGCAGTATAATAAATTGGGTCATAATTAGTCATCCTAAAAAGTTATTAGGGAACAGCCCACACTCAAATCCTCCTCTCATGCATCATCATGGTGTAGAAGGGGCCTTGGGTTCTCACTGGCTGTGACATCAGAGCATAAGTTCTGACACCTGAGAAAGGCTTCCAATATGGGTCTGGTGACAATGTGTCTATCATTCAAAGCCCTTCTCCTAATGCCTATGGCCCCCACACTCCCACCTCCAAACAAGAAGACAGAGGATTGTCCCTAGCTAAGTGCAGAGAGGCTCATCATATCATCAGGTAAGCCATAGGGTCTCACACACAAAGTTAGTCCACTAATCTAGAATGACCTATGTTAGTGGATGGATTTGAAGTATTGAATCATCATAGAACAGAAACGTAAACTAAAGTGATAAACTGAATAGTAGATGCTCCAGGCTGAGTCAGAAGACCTGGATTCTAATTTCCTCTTTGCTGTGTGATCTTGAACAAATTTCTTGTCATTTCCAGGCCTCGTTTTCTTCATCTATAAAATTGAAAGGGGGGGGGAGGGACAGATGGAGAGTGTAGAGAGCCTTAGAAATAATTTGGTTCAACCCGTTTATTTCAGGTCAGGACTCACTAAGGCAGGTTCAGAAATTCAGGTCAGGGATTGGAATGAAATGAGCTACTCACAGACCTTCTTGCAATTAACAGAAGGAAGTTTACTCAACCAAAGCACGGAAAAGGTATTCAGCAAGGATACAGCAGTGATTCAGTTGAGCTCAGCTTTCCTGTCTCTGCATGGGCCATGATAGCATGCGAGTTAAAAGCATTTATGAAGCCAGAGGAAGCTCCTGGAAACCCCATGTGCTGCCTTTTGTCCTGAGGCAACTGGGAAGCTTTGTCAGTGGTCCAAATCTTAGTCCCTTGGACTACCTAAATGTGGAAGGCAATCTTATTATCTTTAAACAACAACAACAACAAAAACTAGCCCAGCCTGCATGAGGTAGATTTTGCTTCTACTGCAGCTTCCATTTTACAAATGAAGAAACAGAGGCTCAGAAATATGAAATGAGTTACCTGAAGTCACATAATTAGTGCGTGGAAGAGCTAGGATCACAGGCTTATAGCTGAAAGGGACCTCAGAAGTTATCCAGTCTGGTTTCTTCACTCTACAGATGACCAGCTAAAGCCCAGGGAGATTGGACTTGGGGAAGCTAGGTGATGCAGTGGAGAGAACTCTGGGCATGGAGTTAGGAAGACCTCCATTCAAATCCAGTTTCAGATACTAGCTGTGTGACTCTGTACAAATCCCTTAACCTCAGTTTGCCTCTGTATAGCGCCTAAGCAGCATAGCACCTACATAGGGCTGTTGTGAGGATCAAATGAGATAATAATTGTAAATTACTTAACACAGTACTTGGCACATGGTAAGCACTATATAAATGTTAACTATTATCCAGAGGTAAGAAAGGGAGCCAGGATTTGAAGACGGTCCTCTGATTCCCGATATGGTGATTTTTCTTCTGCACCGTATTCCCTCACTTTGTGGCCCTTGAGTCTGGAGCCCAGATCCTTTTTCACTCTACCATGCTGGCTCACCTGATTGAGCATCAGAGAAGAAATCTGTGCAGAGGTACATAATGAACACAGAGGTACATGATGACAATTACTCACTATGTCTGCTTCACTGTGATCGCAATAATGAGCAAAAGAGCCCTTGACTATCTCAGTACTTTGAAAAACAGAAAAAAATCCTACTTCATTAATCTAAAAATGACAACCATCTCCAGAAAGCTCAGTAGCATATTTGCATTCAATGTTGATGATTTTTCTGAGTGACAGAAACATAAATAGGAAAGCTGCTCATAGCACTCTGGATGGTTTGTTTGGATGAAGACAGAAAAGCTGTTTCCTAAAGGAAATGGAGAATTTAAGGAGCCCCACCCATTAGGCCCATACACATACCACTGTCATCATAGTCATGTAAAAAGAGAAATGAAATTTTTTCAAAGTCCCCTTTTATAAGTGGAAAATTTTGTAAAAGGTTTACTTTGGTTTGGGATTATGTGTGTTGACTACATGTGGATCATTTGCATATATTTCCCCAGCTCTTAGGAAAGAAATCAGTAAAATGCTATAGGAAGAAATGAAATTTTCTGCGGGAAGAAAATAACCAAATGCTCTGATGGCACTTTGTCAAACTTTTCTAATGCTTTTATCATGGGTTGTTTTGTATTATTATTTTCTCATGTGATATATATATATGTATCTATATATATATATATATATCATGTGATATATATATATATATATATATATATCTATTCCCTGTGTGCACACACATACACACATCCCCCACCATAGACTGACAGCAAGTTTCATGAGATCAGGAACCTTACCAATCAATTAATATTTATTAAGCACTTTCTATGTGCCAGACATTCTGCTAAGTGCTGAGGATACACAAAGATGCAAAAGATTGTCCCTGTCTTCAAGGAGTTTAAAATCTAATGGGGGAGACAATATGTCAACAAATGTATACAAAGTGAGCAATATACAAGATAAATAGAAAATAATTAAAAGATGGTAGGCACAGAAACAAATAGGAGTTGGGAAAGGCTTCCTGCACCTTCTGGTGGGATTTTAGCTGGGACTTTAGTTGGGAAGCCAGGGAGGTCAGTAGTTGGAGTTAAGAGGAAGAGCATTCCAAGCATGGAAGGACAGCCAGAGAAAATGCCCAGAGCACCTAGCACAGTGTTTCTTGATTTGAACTGAAAACTCATGAAGATTTTATTCCCTAAGATTGTTTAACCATTTTGTCATGAAATAAGCCATAATTTAAAATCTTGTTTAAAATCTTTTAGAATAAAATGAATACTCCAAAAACTATAATTACCATTTCAAAAATAATTGCATTGATTTCCTTCTTCCCCTTCACCCTACAGCATTTGGGAGCACTAGCTGTTAGTAAATGAGGTCAGTGGAGTGGATAGGGTGCTAAGCCTGAGGTCAGGAAGACTCATCTTCCAGAGTTCAAATCTGGCCTCAGACACTCACTATATGATCCTAGGCAAGTCACTTAATGCTATTTGCCTCAGTTTCCTCATCTGTAAAATGAGCTGGAGAAGAGAATGGCAAACCACTCTAGTATCTTTGCCAAGAAAACCCTTAACAGGGTCACAGAGTCAGACACAACTGAAATGACTGAACAACAAGCAGAGATTTCTATCACTTTACCAGAATGGGAAATCTACGCTATTTTCATTAAATAGCTAAATGTTAAGCCACATCTAATTTGTAAATAATTTTTTGCATTGGCAATATCCAAACATAACTTTATTTAGAATGTCTTTCCCAAACAGATGAATCTTTAGCCCATTTCTACTTAACTTTAGGAATCTTCTGTGGTAGTATACTTTAAAAGAGGAAAGAAAGAAGAAGAAAGAAGGAAATGAAGTAGTGTAATTTAAAATTTGTTACAACTTGAAGATGCCAATGGAATGTTTAAAGAAAATACTCTGGTTAATTCACAACAGAAACTCAAAAGACCCTCTGTGACTATAAATGCAAGACCTAAAATTTGGCAAAGCCTTCAATAATCAATCATCTTTGGAGGTTTAATATGTAACAAGGCGTCTAGCAGGGGTGGGGAACCTGTGGCCTCAAGGCCACATGTGGCTCTCTAGGTCCTGAAGTGTGGCCCTTTGACTGAATCCAAACTATTTGTTCTGAAGTTTAGATTCAATCAAAGAGCCTCACTTAAGGACCTAAAGGGCCACATGTAGCCTTGAGGCCATAGGTTTTCCACCCCTGATCTAAAGCAAGCACAGAATGATTGATGCTATTACGCACACAGAAGAGACTAGGGAGTCTGTTTCTGGCAGAGTTATGATTATGAAAGTGCCTTGGAGAGACTTGAGCATATGTAGACATTTAGCAACTGGTTCCAGTCTGCTACCCATGCATTTAGGTGAAGACTTTTTGATTTTCTCTCTAGCTGGGATGGGGGCTGCCTTTAAAAGGCAAGGGGAGAGGTAACTTTACTCTCTCTAGTTCTAACTCCTTCACTGATGGCAGCTGATAAGAGCTAGTGCTTTAAGCAAAGAGGCCTTAGGTCTCCTCCCCTCATAGGCTGATGTAGTCCTCTGATGCAAGCCTTGGTCTTTTGCTTCTGTGTTTGCTCTTTTCTATTTTAGGTGAAGGGATTGGATACTCCAAACTTGTGGGTTTTGAAAGGTCAGGAGACCCATCACTTTGTAATGACTAAACAAATTGTGGTACCATTAATTGTAGCGGAATGTTATTGGGCTATAAGAAATGAAGTGTGTGATGAATACAGAGAAGCATCGAAAGACATACATGAACTGATGCAGAGTGAAGGAAGCAGAGCCAAGAAAACAATATATATAGTAACTATGACAATGTAAATTAAAAAAAAAAATACCCACACAAAAAATCAAAAGTGAATGTAACAAAATTATAAAGCTCAAGACAGAACTCAAATGAAGAGATAAAAGAAGACATTCTCACCCCACTGTGGATGTGGGAGGGCCACAAATGTTACACAAAATTGCATGTTTTCAGACTTTTATGTATATATTGATCAATTATGCTGATTTTTTCTTCTCTAAAATAATTATCATTAGGAGAGGAGGTGGGGGGGATACTTGGGATTACATTAGTGACATAAGAAACAGAAGATTTTAATAACTTATTTTTTTAAAAAAAGGTCAGGAAAGTGAGCAAAGCAGAGCCCCAGAATCCTCAGCTTGGCATCAATACCCTGAGGAGCAAGAAGTGACCTTTAGCAGCTACCTTTGGGACCCAGCTCTGTAGCAGCTGATAGAAGGACTCATCCTCAGATCAGTGATCAAAGTGAAGTTGGTAGAATTGAGCTACATTTGAGTCCACTCTTCCCAGAGACCAAGGTAGGATTGGAGAGAGTGTGTACCAAAGTGTTGGGGTGCGGAAGAAGGTTTGTACCTTTGGCATTGCTATATCTTCAAAGTTATTATTCCTTTGGAAAAGTTAATGAAGTCGGATATAAATACTTAATGACATATTGAACATTATCTTCACAGTAGTATCTGTTGTGGAAACTTGTATGATTACGACATGCACACAACTTTTCTGAGGATAACTTTTAAGGACACATTGTTTTCTCTGTCAAGTCAAAAGCCTTCTTAGAATTATAAACCATATCCACATCAAGATCTCATATTAACCAGGCTTCTCCATCTGCTGTATAACTTTGAAGATATGGTTTGCTGTAAAAAAAATCATCTACAAAAATCTGCTTATTTCTTTCTCATGTTTTCATCAATGGTAGCCATGATATACAAAAACCATTCCCAGAAATATTTAATAGACATAAGAAAGTCCCATAGATATAAAATTGGAAGGGAACTTAACACGTATCCAATCCAACCTCCTTATTCTACAAATGAGAAAATAGTGGCCCAGAAAGATTAACTGATATGCCCAAAATCATATACATAGTTAAGTAGAAGAGCCTGGTTTTTTAATTTGTACTATACCATATTTGCCTCTTTACACTGAAATTAATAATGATTAAAGTATATGTGAACTATTTTTGAAAAGCTAATATTAAGTGATTAAATAGAATTGTGGTATTAGTTATTGGCATTAACAGTGCAGGGAACACAACTGTTGGAGTTTCAAGTGAATGGCATTACAGAAACAACATTGCACAAAATCCTTGGAGTGCTCCCAGATCCCTGAAGGAGACTCTGGGAGAGTCAGCCAAATCATATTCATCACACATAGAAGAGGGAAATTGAATCATAGGTCTTCTTTTTGATAGCTACATGATAGGTAAATGTTCTAGGCATGGAATATCTCATACTATGTTGGTGAAATTAACATAGTTAATAGCTGTTAGGTGAAGCTATTGATTCAAAATGTGCTTTACAGTTTTTTTCAGGTCGGTCCAATTTGTACTGATCCATCTCTATATCCTCACTTGGTCTTCTTTGTGATCAATAACATTTGCAAGGCATTTATCCTGAGTTAGAGATATTATCTCGGGCTACAGTCTAAGCCACTGGACTAATCTACTCACTAGTGCATAAAGTCTTGGCCTTCATTAGTAAGGGCCTTCTTGATGAAATCAAGATTTACTGGGAACAGTATACATTCTTAATGGCCAGACCATAGGCTTGTGTAGAGCCTGTAGGGAAAGGGCAAATGGTAATCCTCTCTAATTCCTACTCTGTGCATGTCTATGGTCCTGCCTTTAAGATGTTTTTGACAGCTACAAGGTTTTGTCTTAATTCAGCCTTGAAATTGTTACACACAGATCCTGACTCCTTCAAACTTTGGTTTCCAACCAGAACAAAGTAAAAGAAAAGCCCTTTGCTTAATTTATAGTAGGGTTTTAGTGACCTTCCAGAGGCTGACTGTCAAATTTTTGACCCATGTTATAATAATGATAATAATAATAGCTAGCTTTTTTTTTAGCCCTTTAACATTTGCAAAGTGTTTTCCATATATCATCCATATAATTATGCTTAGTCTTTTATCATCATTTTACAGATAAGTAAACTAAAGCCCAGAGAATTTAAATGACTTAATAAGTGTCTGAGGCATAATTTGAATGCAAGTCTTCCTAACTCTAGGTTCAGCTCTTTATACTGCACCCCAGAGCTGCCTTATCTCTTCAGAAGTTCTTAAGAATAAGAGGTAGTGGCTTCTGGAATAAGAAAGGGATTAGGGCAATATTCATTTTTAACATGTATATTCCCTTCAGGAGTTGTCTATCAATCATTCAGGTTTTAGTATAAATTACTTTAATCAATTAATCAGATTGCTCTCAGCCTAAAAATCTGAGATCAGAAACTATGGGAGTGGGAATTTGGTTTGAGAGATGGCAGTGGAAATATACTTTGGAGTATAGCTGAGACTGAAATATTATTGCTTCCTTCCTTTTCTCTCAGAATGAATGATGCTGACTGAGGGAATTCATCATTGAGGATATCTGAAAAGCTCAGTTTCCCCACTCTCTAAATGGAGCTAGTGACTACAAACCTTTATTCATAAACGTGATGGATTTGAATAATCCCATACAGTTGTTTGAGAGAATTAGAGAGAAAATGGGGTGCTTTATCAATTCCATTACAAATATGGAATATTCTTTTTTGTGGAAGACATCCCTTCCAGGACTCAGAGAAAGGTCATGAAGATTTAAATTTTCCAAATAGGAGCTGATGACGGGGAGTATTCTGAAAATGGAGGCTGACCACACACACACAAAAAGTGTGTCTCCTGGGCAAGCTTTGCCAGGGGTTAATGAGAATTGCGGTGAAAAGAATAGCCTCTGTGAGAGTTTTAGACTCAGTGTGTCTTTAATTTGATACCATGGCAATGAAAATGTGATTCAGGGAGAACACTGTTTCCTGCTAGACAAGGAAAAATGTTGAGGTTCTCCCTAGCTGCCATGGTGGCAAATATTCCACAGTACACTGAAATAAGAGGGAGCTTCAAGTGGGGCCTGCTTTTGGGGGCAATAGGGAGCTATAAGAGGAAATGAAGATGTATATTCAGGATTCAGTGACTGGAGACATGTCAGGAGAAAATTTGTTTTCCAAGGATTTTATTTGGGATTCTGTTTTGTTTTCTTTTGTCTTCCAATAAAAATTATGTGGTTTTAAGAGAGTCATTCTTAATTACGGATTCATTTTCCCTGGTTTCCTAGATAGAGGCTACAAGCCAAAAGGGTTAGAAAATTCCCCAAAGTATAGTTGGACAGTCACGAGAGCCTTTTGACACACAGATTACAAGAGCATAGGGTAATTTACGAAGGCCTATTTGAGTGTTGCAGAGGGCCTTTGGCCATCTAGGGGGAAGCATGATGACACCAAGTCCCTGAGAGACAAAGTAAGAGGAAGTAATAGGAAAGGGCCAAACACAGACAGTCTGAGTTTCTATTTTCAAGGGGCTCCTAATAGCGACAACACCCTTTGTGTCCACCATGTTCTATAGTAGCTAATGCCTGATTTATAGGATTAGACATGCTAAAACAGGGTTTTATATGGGACAACTTTTCTACGTGTGGCTACAACATTTAGGAAATACTCTTTGAATGAGTGAACAAACGGGCAAATGAATGGATCACGACAAAGGAAGTCCAAATATTTTGTCATCTTCAATAATTGATGCAGATAGCTGTGAGATTGAAATTGTGATGGTGACTGATATAAAAAATGAAGTTGTCTGTGAGGATCAGCTGAGCTAGACCATGGATGTTTATACACAGACACAAAAAACCATAAATCTAGTGGCTTGGCAAAAGTTCCCCGAGAAGTAAAGCTTTCTCATTAGGATCAGTCTTTATGCAATGATTGATGGTCTACTAGACCCTTAAGTTATTGGCCTTCTAGACAGGTGTCATGTAGGAGAAATGGAACATTGACTTCTAGCATCATTTATTGATGACTTCTTTAGTGACCTAAAAAAACCACAGTTCTTAAAGTTAACCAGCAAAAGGGTCCTCTGACTAGCTACTCTATTTACCTTCACTCTAATTGGGGCAGATTATTTCAATGTAGAATGGAACCCTTGCTACCTCTTTTTGGGAATCTTAAAGGAAGAAAACTTTAGAGACCATCTACTGACTTCTTTCATTTTACAGATAAAATTGAGGTCCATGTTGGTTAAGGAACTTTCCCAAGGTCACACAGATAGTAAGAGAGAAGCAAGGTATGAATTCTAGTCTTCTGGCTTTAAAACCTATGACAAACACTCTTATTCCATTCATGCTGGTAACATCCTTTACTCCTCTCTTAAAATTCTACCTTACTGCAGAAGCATTGTCCCATTTGTTCAGCTCAGTTTCACTGAATTCAAGAAACATTTACTAAGTGCCTACTATGTGCAAAACACTGTAAGGACATAGAGACACAACTGAAATAGTCCTTGCCCTCAAGAAGCTTACACTTTATTGGTGATACAACAGTGGCTAGGAGTCTCATCTCCCTACATTTTTTGTCTAAAATTACAGTATTCCCCTTCAAATATAATCATTATCTTAAAATGTCTGTACACATGCCAGACGTTAAACCCATACAGAAAAAGCAGCTTTGAAATCATTAGTGTATTTCTGCGTAGTTTTTCTGCGTAGACACATTTAGCACTGCCCCAATAGGAAAGGGAGGGTGGTTGAGCTGGGATGGGTGGGTGGGAAGCCAGCAGCCATTGCTAATAGCCCTGAGGATGACACCAGTGTCTCTCCCACAATAAGGCTGCCTGTAGTCAGTGCATAACAGCTAAGAGAGGAAGGGCTTTCTATGTCAGTTTTATAGGCTGGGGCAGTTTACCACTGCTGCAGAGCTTTTTGTCCCTGAGTTAGTTAAGTAGCTAACCTGGTGAACCTTCACCTCTGCCGAGTGAATCATCGGGGCTTCAAGATTCTGCTGTTCCTATGTGATATTTCCCTTCCTGCTGGTGCTTATGCTCCCTCATATGTGTCCCTCACGAAGTCACCTATATTGGGTCATTTTGCTGGGCTGCTGGAGGTTTGGGGAATAGAGAACAGAAGTTCTCTATGTAACTGACTTGTGTTATGAAGTTAGCAACATGAATATGTTGGGCAACATTTTCTGAGCTGTTACCTCTTCTCTTGGAAGCATCTCTGTGTCGTGAGGAATCTTTCTCCTCATTGCCTATCACATTTCCACTCTGAGAAACCTCTGCCCTGCAGCCCTCCTCTCCTGATTGGCAACTCCCTCTCTGTGACCACTAAATTAGGAAGGACTCCAGCCCTCCTTCCCCTCTCCATTGCCTGGACTCCTTAGAATTCTCCTTCTCCTCACCTGCCACCTTGCCCCTGTGCAGGTACCCTTTCCCCAAATCCAAATCCCCTACCTTACTGACTCCCTTTCATACTTTGTCTTTCCCCCTTTAAAATGTA